TTGTGGAATTCAAAGTCCCTTTCCATTTTCATTGGTTTTAGAACAGTCCCAACTTGAAGCCATGTTAATTAAATGTTTATCTGACTTGGGACATGAGGTAAAACGACCAGTTGCCGTATGGAAGGTTGAAGTTCCAGAGACAACAGAACCAGCCAACCTTACTGATGCTTCGCCGGGAGGTTCCCCAGCAAACATTTCTATGATGCTTGCAGCACATAGCGCACTGGGGGACGCATCTCATCAGCCAAGTGGTACAACAACACCGAATGCGGCAGCTCCACCATTCAATTCGTTTTTGACGAACGTATCTGCAGCAGGGCCTATTCGGGGAATGCCAAGCTTCTTGACAGAGCCGGCATGCACTGTTCACGTGAAGCCGCTGGACTTCAATGGAAAACCCGTCGAGTCGCTCGTTAACCAGGTAGGGCTCGCGTCTTTTGTCGTTTCTCCATGTCGTTTCGTAGATTCGGTGTCGATTCGTCGTTGGGTGTGATGGCGCAAAATCGTCCGTGCGCAAGGCTATGAACGTCGCTTTTTCCCCCCGGAGCGAACCGATGGAGTTTCTGGTGGCTGATGTTGCAGCGCAATGGGGTCGGGAGATGCAACCTGAGCGAATGGAAGTGGTGCGAAATCCGAGTGGGATCCTTGTTGTCATTCCGATGGCGGATTCAAAATGGCGGATAATTTGCATGAGAAAGTGTACTGGTGACGACGGAACCACGGAACCGTTCCAGAAACTTCAGGCTCCTGAATACGAGGAGCTGCAGCAAGTGTTGGAAACTGTAAGGTTCTTTGGAGTCAGTCGACTTCATTAGTTGTCCTGCTTGTTCCAGCTGGTTCCGAATACAACGCTTGATGGGTCCTTCTGGACGTGCGCCTTTTCCGTCAATTGTCGCATTGCTGACACCTTTCGCCGTGCTGCTGCTATACTCTGTGGCGACGCTGCTCACTGCCATCCCCCCACTTTTGTGCAAGGAATGAACAGTGGAATTCAAGTGAGTCCCACAAAGTTATAGTACTGTGTCCCAATGGGGTCGCAGTGGAAGAACATTTGTATGTATTCCTTCAAGTCTTATGATTACTTTTTGATAAGGATGCCTATAATCTGGGATGGAAATTGGCAGCAGTTGTTCGTGGTGCTGCTCCACGCTTATTGGACACTTATAGCGTCGAAAGGAAAGAAGCTGCTGAAGAGATAGCAAAGCACTCCAGGAGAATTCTCGACCTTCTGGTTTATCCAGGTACGCTGAGAAATCACCGCGAAGTACACAGCCAAGTATTGCAAGTCATTTTATTATTGCCTATCACTTCCGATTGAACTCTGACTGGATCTCTGTCATCACCACATCATTCCTCATTGTTCTTATTTCGCACGATCTATCCGTTTCATTCCACATCCCGTCTATTGCAGGTGCTGCGGTTCGTTGCGCTTTTTCGACGCTTGGTCCGCTTCTTGGAGGAATGGACTATTTTTCGCAAAATTTTAGCAAAGTGTTCTCTCAAACGGATCTGCATTATTCGCCAAAGTGAGTTTCATGGAGTTCTGTTGAAGGACAACGCGACAGAAAATGAGTTCCTAGTGCTTTAGTAAATAGTATCACGGAGTTTCTATTCTCTTTTTCGACAGTGCAATCGTGGGGAAGAACAACTTGGGACGCGGTGCGATCGACCCAGGAGCTCGTATACCAAACGCTTCTATCGTTGCACTTCCTGTTGGTTTGGAAGATGCATCGTTCAGCGAGTCGCCCAGAGCGTTGGTGAATGTGAGTGCGTTGACAGATTAAATATTCATAAAGAGTTGTTTTTAGTACTTGAGAGGGGGCCATCACACGCTTCTTTTATTCGCGCACGTTTTGCCTCCTGGAACGAAATCCAGAACAATCTTTGGATGCGAAAGAACGGAAGAAGCTGGTAAGTTATCTAATTTGGTATTTCCACACATGATGATAATGATGATGATAATCGTACCGACCAAAACTCCATTACGCAACTCGTCTCCCTTTTGTAGTCCGATGGAGTTCTCAATGCCTGGAAAAGTTGGCACGAACAGCCCGTTTATTGGGTGAAGCGTTTCGTGGAAAGGAAAAAGAAGTTTCGTTTGGAGGTCTTCGAGTAGTTTGGATTTTGTGTGGATTAGTCAATTTCAAGAGTCCTCAAAATAATGTTGGACTAGGACAGATAAAGAATCACGTTCCTCACCGCTTACTGTATTTTTTCGTTCAAGGGTATGTTCTCTGCTCCTTTGGGACTTTCGACGATGTCGTTTTGTCCAGATCTCGTTCCGGCCAGCGAAGCGCGGTTGCTGTGGACTACGAAGGGGCTGCGCACAGTACTCTGGGCTTAAAGTTATCCGATCCCGATGGCTTCAAGGGATCGGAAACTTCTGGAGCGTTCATTCTCGTGCGTCCTGATGGACACGTTGCATGCAACGGTTACGCCGGAGATTCTCTCGCAATCGGTGCCGCTTTCGATTACACGCTCAACTGGTTATCTGACTAGATCAACGTTTTTTGCGGTTCAACACATCTTCATCTTCCCACTACCTAAACTACACAATTAGTATTGTTTCCGTCCAAGCGGCTCTCCGTGCGGAAAAAAGCTTCCCTTCGCTTGAACGCTGTACGCCTTCCTGGATATCAGGTCTAGATACGGCAACGTCCAACCCTCAAACTCAGGATCGAACTCTCTGTAATGTTTAGAATTGTAGTGGACACTCAATGGTGATCTCACCGCCTATCCCTCAATGCGTAATAACGCGCCATACGGACGTATTCAAGGCGAGCGCGGGGTGTTCTGGCGAAATCGACCCTTAATCTATCTAGTGGTCTGCATCCCACCTTAGCCTTCCCCATTGCCAGAATGTGACTGTAGCGATATTGTATCCCATGGCTTGTAATAAACGCTGTCTAAATCGATCTATATGGTAATCAGAAGATAATCAGGAGATAATCAAAAGATAATCGATATCCTTACACACTGAAGTTCGCTGTCTTGTGTTATTGTAAAATGACGTTGGAATTCCGCACGACCAAACTAGATTTGTATCCTTTTCAAGAATGTCTGTACGAACCGGTCCCCTGAAGTCGAGGAAGATACAATAGATTGAGAGGATGATAAGGGACCTCAAAACATTCGAATAATGCGCTACACGAAGGCGCGTCAGAATTTTCATTAACTGAGATGCAAAGAGATAACAAGTATATCTTGGGATCAAAATTCTTACCCCGCTTTTGATCACAAGATGATTCGGATGGGAAGGCAAGAGATCGAAATCTTGAAACCTTTGAAAAACCGATTTTGTTTCCTCTAACGGCATAAGAGAGCAAATACGTCATGCGTGGAAATTCAGACAAACTCAAAGATGACAGATTCGATCTCCAATGATGATGAAGAATTTCATACCTGGCAGAATATCGAAATCATCATGATGTAAATATCGAATTCCATAAATAAAGTTGAGAAGACGACGGTGATTATCTCGTCCGACGCGATCGCATAACGAATGGCTCCCAGGAACGCCTCTCCTGTTCCGTTGACCATCCGTGAAAACTCTTAACGGAAGGGGTCGAAGCATAGGGGTCAACCTGAGAAGACCGCACTATCAGAGAATCAAACCCATACAGAGTCAAAATTCGATACAAAATTCAGAGCTATAGAAAGTGACCTTATAGAAATTTCCAAAAGAGATTCTTTGTAAATGGAAACGGAGTCAAGATGCGCCAAAAACAAGCCTTCAGCCCAAAGAAGAAGAGAGGAGATGGACAAGCAATTCAGCTTCATCAAGAGTTTTAAATGCGTCTGAGAGGGTACAAGACAAATCTCCTATCATCACTTTGAATTAGGCTGACGTTCAATAAGGCTCCAAGTTTTGGGAGATTTAAACGGTCGAGCTTTGCGAGGTGATTCACAATCCACGCAAGTTGTTTAGCTGCTTCTCGACAGTCACCCCGACATAAACGTTTCCAAGAAACGATTCGTAGAACTTCTTGCAGTTTGAAGCGGACGTCGGATATGATGTCGCAGTCATTCGCACGTTGAGCCGCGACACCCCGAAGGACTCGTCGCGAGATCGAAAGGAGTTCGAGAAGATCGTCTGGGGCTATTGTCATCGCTGAAAAGAACTTGTTTTTTGTGTAGAAACTGAAACGTTTATTCAAAACGCGTCAGATGAAGAACTTAGAGGGCCAATAGACGGAAACTCACTCTTGTCTTCTTTTAAAAGGGGCGTCTTCATAATTGGAAATCCTCTACCGCGTTTCAATCGAAAGCTCAATGAATCTGCAATTGCCTCCGCCAATGGTTGATGACAGAGATGGAGTGCAGCAAGAATATCAGATAAATGGAGGATCTGAGCGGTTGTTAAATCCCGAATCTGGAGAAAATCAAAAAAGACTTCTCTGGAGCGAATCAAAGAATCTTTTTTGGGGCTCACAACATAACTCTGAGTGGTGGTTGTCATACCAGAGCTGTTAAAACTTCGCACACAGGGAGGACACGCTCAAAATTTGAGATTTTTTTTGCCTCAAGCGCCTGAAGAAACAAGTCAAAAGAGTCCAGAGTTCGAGCTAAAATGACGTGTACGCCGGTCTTACTCCCCCCTCACAGAAAGCAGGAAAAGGAGATCTCTGGCCGTTGTTCGAGTTGGCAACGTATGGACGATCTGCTCTTCATCTCCCCCACTATAAGTGTATGATTCGGATGGGTATTCAACTTTTCTTTGCAATACAGCGATATGCGCTTTCTGTCAAAAACCATTGAACACTCTGTTTCTGTCAGTCGGCGTTCTCACTTGCAGAAGTTCTTCAACTGAGTTCTTGTTTTTCAGCCGACGAATTTCACCGGCATCCCGTAGTTTCAAACAACCAAATTGGGGTTTCCAGGGTGTCCAAGAACGCTCTGTATGATAGTTTGGTCCTTTGGAGCATTTCAACAGTCGGTATCGCCCTGGGGGCGGCATTGTGACTGCAAGAGTGGTACCAAAAACTGTCAACAAAAAACTGTCAACAACCAGGAATATCTGCTCTATTTTGAACGAATCCGAAGTCGTTCTCAGTAGTTCGGCTAAGTTGCAAAATCATCTCGCAGTGGTATGTATGAGGGAACATATCCACTCCAACTGCTTTGATGGGTTTGAATGGTGTATCAGCTAACAGAGTTGGAGTACATAACCTGGAACGGGAAAGTAGAAGTAATAAGAAGAAATAAGACAAGGAAAGTTCAAGTAACAAGGAAAGGAAAGCAATAAATGAGGAAAGTGACTCAAAGGAAAGGCTGCTGCAAACCTGAGGACATCTTCCACAAGTGAATCTGGATTACAGGAAATGTAAACCAAATGATCTGCGATACAAATTGTGAGTTCATATCAGAAGATCATCACTTACTGATTTTTTGACACTCTACAAGACTCCTGCAAACTGTTGGATCTTGAACAAAAAGAAGATTTTCAATGAATACAATTTTACCGCAACTGATACACATGGATAGATAGACACACATAACTTACGCAATCCAGCCCGTGGAGGGTCGACTATCGCACACACTTCAACCTCATTCTCAATGTTCGCTAATAACTCTGGCAAAACGACTTCAGCTTTTCCACATAAAAATTCAACAGATTTCTCATCAATTGCATTGATTTCAGCGTTCATTTTTGCCGATTCGACAGCCTCAGGAACGAGTTCAATCCCAACAATTCGTGGTGTTCGCGAGTCGCTCATCCTTTGACTCAATTGATGATGAAGAGCCAATGCAATCGTGCCTGTTGACGGATAATCAGTTTGGAGTCAAATTTCTCGGATCAGAGGTATTGTGTATTCTCATTTCCAAAAGTCGATCCAAAGCGTCACTATTGCACAGAAATTCGTCAACTCTTACCCGCTCCGCTACAAATATCGAGGACTAGACCAGATTTCGAAACATCAAGCATCTCAAATGCTCGTTGATAGAGCGCAGCGCACGCCTTTGTATTCGTCTGAGAAAAGCAAAAGAAATTGTGAAACATGTGTAACGGAGTTATAGATAGAATATAAATGATGAATGTTCGTTGAATTGTTGATTGTAGATTACTTGGAAAAAAGCGGCTGGGTGGATTCTAAATTGGAGTCCCAACATCTCTTGAGTGAGAAATTGATCTCCGTGAATCTGAAAAAGGAGACAATTGCTGGAAATCCATTAGGATGTTTAAATTGAGAGAAAAGAGGATCCCACGTCGCCCCTTCATTCCACGTCAATATCCGATGGATGTCGCGCTTTCAACTTACAAGCTGAAGATTTCGTCCATCGAGAGCGTCCGAATTTTCGATTCTCTGCACAAACAATATAAATTTTTTAAGAACACAAGTGGTAGAAAAATCTTTACCTCTTGAATATAAAGAGATTTGATAAACATTCCATCGTAGAGACGAAGAGATGTACGGGAGGATCCATCGGAGTAAACAAGACCATCGATCAGAAGAGCGATCAAAGACGCTCGAAGATCATCTTCTAAACAAACACGAGGACAATTATCTTCTCTAATAGAGCCATATATTGTTTTTCTCTTTGCCACTCACCAGTTCTAGAACTTCCTTCTCTTATCAATCCAGAAGCACTCAGAGATTTAATTTGCGTCACAAGCATTAATCCATTATCACGTTCAGAACTACGAACCATCAAAATTCTCCACACGCCTTTTTGTTTCGATCGCGAATAAACAGGAAACTCCTCTTTGCACCCCACCACAATTTCCTACAAAAGCGAATGACGAGTGCAACACTTTTCTGCTAAATCCAAAATCGTTCATTGAAACAACTTATCATCAAGTCATCAAAACAACACTTCATCACCACTCGAAACAACAACTCACTCCTAATCTGCAACAGATCTCTTGCATCGCGTGGGAAACATGAAGCGCGCCAGAGCACGGGGCAACAATCGGTTCATTATTGACGACTTTAGAAACGAAACCAATCTGACAGACAAAATTCGTCCATTAGCGTTAAGAGTAGTAATGCAAATCAATATACAACTCCCAAATCGAATATATATTATTCTATTACCACTCTTACACAACTCTTACTTCAGGGTCTTTTAATTCATCATTTTGAAATCCAATTGTGAATTCACATTTATTTCTGTAACCCAATCGAATTTCTGATTCAATAATTCTGTCAACCAAGCAACCATTGAAGCCCTTTGCAACTTCGGGATGACACCAGAGCAACCTTGATTTTTCATCATCATTTTTCAGAACCAATTCTGGATTCAGTTTTCTCTTCTTTGCATTAGGGGGTTTGGTCTCTGATGGCTTGTGAATAATCGCAAACATTCGTCGAGTAAAACTTTTGACGCAAGTCTGAATCGAAAATAATCAATGGATAACAGCCAGTTGGGAAAGTCAGATAAAGAGGAGACTAACAAGTACCAGTTCCATGAATCACTAACGGAGGGCCTGCGCTGATGCAGAACCAAACGCTGTCACTCACTACACTTCCTCTCATCGATCAATTGTCTCCAGGAAAAGCTGATTTTAGTTTCTTCTTACCTTCACGTATTGATTCTTCATTTCTAGTTGAGCGGGGTACGAAAATCCAATCAAAGGAGTGACACGGTTATGATTGATTATTCCCTCTCTAGGAGGCTTCCTAAAATAAAACCAGCTGCATTAGTTGAATTCAAGCTGGTGATCGATCTCTCATGGAAATTTTATAATGTACGAACAAGATGCAATCTCATCAAGCGGAGAAACACAGAAACGCACTTTTGCTTCAAATCCGCCAAATAAGGAAGATTCGTGAAATCCGGAAACGTAAGGGATCCTACAAAAGGTCTGTAGACTGAGAAAAAAAGAAGAGCTCAGAGAATCGCTTCAAGTAAAGGAGACTGACCCTCGTCTTGAGGGGGCACCTTCACTTGTTTCTTCCAGCCGGATTGAAGAGGATCTTGGTTGCCTTTCAGTTGGCAGCGAGACACCCGCAATGGAATAGATCGAATGGCTTTACCATTAACGTCATTCAGAAACTGGAGGGCATCATTTGCTTCGTTGAAATGTCTGATAAACCAAAGCATTCATATTCATTGTACTGAACAATACTCACAAGAACGAGTATGTTCTCTTTGACATTTTATCAATAACGAAGGGAACGGAAGTCCATTGCTGCAAGAAGACAATAAAGTCGGTCGGCATGAATTGCTCACCTTGAGTGTTTCGGCTATTCTTGTTGTTTTCATTGTTTTGATTTCCGGGCTTGCCATGTACAACCGCAATGGATGAAACTCCTTTTCCGGCACCTCTTCAGCAGTTTCCGTCGCCTGTTCCCTTTCTTCATCATTGCGGGGTGGGCAGTCGGTTGCTGCCATCTCCACTATTGGCCTGGACCAGATTTTCCTTTAGGTCCTGGAACCGATCAGTGTGTGCGAAATTCAAGGAGCGCTCATTTTTAAGTTTCAATCACACACCACAAAAGATCAGAAAGAGAGATTTTTTCTTCGCAACGAAATACGACGGAAGGCCTCAAATCGTCAAGAGTTTTTGCATTTCATCCGATTTGCTATTAAAATTCTTATGATGATGAGAAACAGGAAGACTTTCAGAGCTTTTTAATCTTCAATGTAGCTCGTAATGTATGCTGCAGATCAGATCGTCAACAAAATCACTAGAGCATGCAAGGGCTGCTCTTTAGACGTCACCGCAATCACCTGAGATCTTTGAAGGAATTCTTGTACTTGTCTCTAAGTCCATGTGGATTGCATAAAACACGATATAGATAATCATGACGATATCGATAACCATGACGATATAGATAATGACAAAATTGATATCAAACGTATTCGTCAAGCAGTGCTCTTTTTGGTGGAGTGGCGTACTCATATCGAAACGTTGGAATGCGGATTTCACACAGAAGAAGGCCAGTTGATAACATTTCGTGATATAAAACCAATTTTGGATTTTTGTGTTGATCGAAAGAAGAGAAGTTTCCTGAACTGAACTTGCATTTGTTAAATTCTTACGTAGAAGATGTTTCTTGAAAATTCGATCTATTTTTGATTTCAGCTGTTTCTTTCATCTTTCAAATACTCAACAGAAAACTATCGAAAGAGGAATCGCAAACGCTCTACAGTGACTTACTCCAACCAATCATGCTGAGCTTGATTTCAGTGGGATACAAGATCAAAGTCTTGAAATCTTGAAGAGAGAGTTGAGATATGCTTTCTGGAATTCTTTGATGGGAACTTCAATCGAACTTCCACAGTCAATGAAATTTAATCATTCGTTGATAGAACGGGTGAGATATGCAAGTCAAATAAATGGTCGACATAAATTTGGAATCAAGTGAATTGATTGATTTCTGTGTCGAATGAAAGGACTAGTAGTTGATGAAACAATCAGCAACATTCTCTTTGCGAGAAACGGATACAAAGTTACACAAGAATACATCCACTTCATATCTGCCAGTGAATCCAAATTAAGTTGTTTTCGAGATTATTTTTTTTTTAGTGGGAACGATTATTGAACATTCCCATTGGTCCACTTGGACGACCAATTGATTGTGATCCCCTAATCATCCATTACTGGTGTACATTCAGTAATTCTGAACTTTATTCTAACTCGCCCAATTTCGAACATTGAAACCTTGAGAAGAATATCCAAGCCATCGGCTGGTGGGTTTCGGTAGGTAGTAGTTAGGGACAGTGGGAATCTCGTTAATCCATTCATGCGCGTCACTAATTAAATGACGAGGCACTTAGCTACCTTAAGAGAGTCATAGTTACTCCCGGCGCTTGCTTGAATCTAATAATTCAAAAAAACCGTCACCTCTGAAGAAATGAAGTCAGTGTCCCAATTTTGTCCCTTTCCTGGGGAATCCATATCCATGATTGTTGGAAAATTGACACTGGAATAGAATTATGATGCCAATAAGCAACCAGCAGTCTCAGTCAATCGGGTTCTTGCATGTGGCTAATTGGAGTGGATGAAGTATGAACTGTGCGGGATATTAGCCCGAAGATTTATTGGTTTGATGTAAAGGGAAAGGATTTTGTTGTTCGGGATTCCAATTGCTAACTGAAGAATGAGGACACTCTAACGAAAGATTGTACCTTGACACTTGCGAGAATCAATGCATAGTCTCTGTTGTGAAATAATACCGTTGAACACAAGGAATCATTTTGTTGTTGAATTCACTCTACAAACTACATTTTTTGTGAAGAAGAGGCTGTGGATATTCTACAAAACAATATCTTTTCTAGACATCATGGACTTGGAGAGTTTCCCACTGAATTCGATGTCTTGGTGGAAGGTGTTTCATGAGAGCTTTAGTTCGAATTCCATTATGATGTCGAAACCCATCCAAAGCGCATCACCAAAAAAATGAAGTTGATAGAAATTCTATTAAAAATGAACAAGTCGACAACCTAGAACCTCGAAGAAGACAAGCCTACCTGATAATAGGCTAAAACTTCGAATCCCATTTGGAAGTAAAATTGAATTCCACGAATATTCCATGTAACAACATCTAAAAGTAGCGCCTGTTGGTATTCAGAGAATAGATTTAAAAAAGAAATCTATTGAGACGCACCAGCGCATCCGGAAAATGGTCACAAACATCCTTCACTGTTAATGCCAGCAACTGCCGACCTTCATACATAACAGAGACCAGAAATCAGAATGTAAAACTTCCCACAGCTTATCATGAGGACAATCAACACACATATGAACACGCAACAAGATGTACTGCGCGTGTCAATCAATGCACATATGAACACGCTACCCTCAACAAGATGTACTGCGCGTGTCAATCAATGCACATATGAACACGCTATCCTCAACAAGATGTACTGCGCGTGTCAATCAATGCACATATGAACACGCTACCCTCAACAAGATGTACTGCGCGTGTCAATCAATTCACATATGAACACGCTACCCTCAACAAGATGTACTGCGCGTAGGTCAATCAATGCACATAGTGAACACGCTACCCTCAACAAGATGTACTGCGCGTGTCAATCAATGCACAGATGTAAAGGCTACACACCCCACAGAGGAATGTTTGGTCATGTTTAATTCTTACCTAGTCCCAAATTGCACAATTCGTCGATCACGCCAAAAGTCGACAATTCACCGACTCGCCCTTTTTCGTGTGTTTGAACTCTGTAAATGCGCTTGCTTCTGAGCCACTGAACTAAAACGACTGACTCGTCATCTAACTGAGAAAGACGTCAACCTGATCGGAAAAACGCATTCCTACCGTTCGTTGGGACACTTTAAAAGTGGAGAATCCAACAATGTAGTCCTTTTTTCTTGGGATCCCTAGCTTTAGTGCTTGGAAGCAGCGTTGATGGGACAACCGCGACGATTCCGCGGTACTCGTCACTCCAAAAGATTCCATTGAAGAATTCCTCGTAACTGAAGAAAGATAGAAACAGACGTCTTTCATTATGAGATAGTATTACGTCTGCTTCTATTAAGAAAACGGCATCACGATAAATCACACTGGATATTCTATTCCTTGCTTTTATGCGTACGGGACAGGGAAGATTTCGTGATGTAGAGAGAGCAGCTCTGGGACATCATCGTTTACAATATAGCGGTATGTCACATCATTAATTGAAATGTTGCGGTCTATAGAATAGAGAAGAAGAATAAGTTACCGAATGAGTGACAGACTAAGCAACAGAATGATCAAAATAATAGCTCTGGGTACTCCATGGTTTTACCCATCGTCCTCACTTATGGACTACCTTTGATCAGTTCGTGAATCTCTGCTTCAAATCCAGGAATCTCTCGATCTCTAGGGAAGCAATCATAACGAGTGCGACCAGATGGAAGAGGAGGCAAAACAATTTTAGAGTTGATCTCTTTCTGAAGTGATTCTGGAAGTTTGGGTGGGATGAAAGGCTCATAGGATGGATGCTGCTTTGAGAGAATACGTCGCCAGAAGTTTGGAAGTGGGGCATCTAGAGAAACTTGAGAGACAGAAATTTTGGCTTGATTGAGAAAACTTACGCGGCTGTTGTTGTCGCGTTTCATCCACTGCGAAAACCGCGAGAAAAATCCAGCAAAATAACAAAAAAGTCAGTTCTGGCATTTTTCCTCCCAGTGTGGACTATCAGGCTAACAGACCGCAGCAGTATTTGGCCGTCGCAGCTAGCTTCGTTACGAAATACATCCATCGCTGAAAGTCGTGAATAAAATATAGACTAGGCAGGCGTATTAGTGGAGTGGTTCATTTGGGTTCTTTTTTATGGGTCCAATAATTTAACTTGTTAATGACTCTATGAAACATTTGGCATCTTTGTAACAGATTGCGCGCTTGTGCAAAATCGCGTTGCCTAAAAGCTTCCCCAAGGGGTCTCAAGTGTCCTTCTGATTTTCATGGACTAAATCACTACAAGGAAACAAACATGTGCTTTCTGTGTCTCACACTTCAACTCACTCATGCATCTTTTCAGCGTCTCGAGGTTGATCGATTTCCTCAATGCGTTCCTCCAGCTGAAAAATAAAAAGAAAATAAAAAGAAAGAAAGCTAGAACAAGGACACTTTTGTGGATGACGCAATATACCTCAAGGATTTCTAGCAACAATTTCGGATCGTCTACAAAACCGCCATCCCCGCAGATCTTCAGGTGTTCCGCCTTGAGTCTTGAGAAAGTAGGAAAGAACGAGACGCGCTCGCGAAAGAGGATCCTTTAGTGCTGAGTACGAAAGTGACGTGATGCTAGAGAAATGCGCGGCGTGTTTTCGTTCTTCCTAAAAAAGATGATAAAAGAGAAGGTTGATTTCGTGAGTTGAAAAAATTCGAACACACGCACTTCAGATGCCGTCGAGAATTTATCTGGATGAAGAGTCTTCTGTAGTTCGCGATAAACGCGTTCAAGCTCTTCCATATTGAGATCAAATTCGACTGGATGTCTGTTCAAGAAATTTGAAAAAAAGGTGATACAAGAGAGAACTGGGCTTCTTACAATCTGAATAGTGCGTAGAGATCTGCTGCATTCTTCTGGTCGAATTTTAACGAAATTCCCCGAACGAATTGTGCCGCAATGCTGCAAAAGGGAAAACTTGAAGTGCCCAAACGTCTTATCGCTTGGAAAGGAGCAGACATTACCTCACAAAAGAATTGAATATCATTACTATTCCTATTTGTTTGCTTTTGACATTTCCAGCAGAGCCAATTCGTAGAAGATGAAAAGTTTCTGATCCACACTTCATTATTTATAAATCGATTCCTCAAATTATCTTTTAAGCATCGGAGAGGACTACCGAGAAGACCCCTTACGGATGATAATAGATGTGGACAATTGAATTGTCTACTAGGGATCCCAAAACTGAAGTCTGTCCCAGCCGTAAGATGCTT